CTGGTCAGTGTGTGTTTTTTTTCTCTCTCTCTCCCTCTCCATTCCTCTTTCTCTAAAAACCAAAACAATAACAGATCTTTGAAGAAAAATAAATAAATTTTACAGCCTTTTAGATGCTTTTTTAAAAAACAAACAGACCTAAAGATAACCACTCCTTTTGTTTAGTTGACAGAGGAGGGGAAAAAATCTAATTTATGTACCATCTCTTCAACACATACCTTGAAGACCTTGAGCAAAGACTTTTATGGAATACCATTTTTAGCTAAGCAGATATTTTAAAGACTAAATTATTTCTTAAACTACTATCAACAGTAAACCCTGATTGAAAATATTATGTCCCTTAGGGACTGAATTTCTCAGGCAGTAGTCAGAATGGGAAAGAAGATGAACATTCTGTACTTCTTGTTAAATTATTTTCTTCTTCCTGAAATGAATAAACTGTTGTCTAAAAGAAATCATGGGCTCTTTTTTATTTTTATTGCTATGGAATCAGCTGAGACAAAGAGTAAAATGGTTTTCAGCCCATGGTCCACAACTTGGACATTCAATTCCACATACACTGACACCTCATATGTGCCAGGCATCAGGCATACATACAGCAGTGAACAGAGTACCTTTGCAGACTTTTGCTTTCTGTGGGGAAATGATGGGTTTAAGGCAGGCAGAGATATGCAAAGCACCCAAGAAAAAAACAAAAACGGAAGATTGTATTTTTCTATTTCCCAATGAAAATTTGTAATTATTGTTAATGATTGCCCTTCAACCAATGATGTCACAGAAGCATACAACCATCTCTATAATACTTGTGCGTAAATAAATGTAAAAACTGAACAGTTTAAGTGACTTCTCCAGAATTTGACAAATCAGTAGCTGACTCATATCAGGAAACACATTTAACATGACTCAGAAACCTCTTCTCCAATCACTAGGCTTGACAAGTCCAAACATGCAGTGACTACAGTCTGTCGAAATATAACAAGCTGCGGATCTGCATTTTATCTGATGGCCAGGTAAGGACACACAAAGCACCTGATTGTTCGATTCTGCTCTTTCTCTGGGATCCTGGCTGACACTGAATAGTAGCCTCTTTAGGGGCACAAATACCTGTTATTGTTTTTCTTGTACCCTTTGGACCAAACTCATTGATGAGAAGTCCTGATAATATCCAATCACTGGAATGTGTAAATCATAGGATTTGAATTTTACTGTGAAATTTACATTTCTCAGGGACATTGGCCGGTCCAGCAAGATTCACGGAATATTCTAACCTTTGGGTTTGATCTCAAGATGCCCACTAACCAGGACTGCTACTAACTAGCTCTGTGTTTGAGTGAGTTTCTCTTCTTTGGGCCTTAGCCTCGTCATGGGAAAAAGGAGGGAATTGAACTAGGTAACCTCTAAAAGTTTGGTTTGATTTCAAGCAGACTTTTGAGTAAGTGGTTACTAAACATAGCTAAGCTTCAGTCTCCTCATCTGTAAAATGGGGATAAAAATACCTACTTTGCAAAGTTCTGTGAACATTAGTGATGAAAGTAAATAAACTACCAAATACAATGTCTGGATGAATTTTAGTCCGAGATTTTGTTGCATATGAGAAATCTCAGCACTAAAATTTGCTGCTCAACCATTCAAGATACCATTTGAAGGGTTGTAGATAGGCTTGTTTTGTTTTGTTTTTTAATACTTTTATTGATTTCAGAGAGGAAGGGAGAGGGAGAGAGAAATAGAAACATCAATGATGAGAGAGAATCATCTATCGGCCACCTCCTGCACGCCCCCCGCTGGGGATCGAGCCCACAACCCAGGCCTGTGCCCCTGATCAGAATTGAACGCAGGACCCTTCAGTCCGCAGGCCGGAGCTCTATCCACTGAGCCAAACCAGCCAGGGCTAGATAGGCTTGTTTTAATCGATTTCAGGCACTAACACAGTATTTAAAGCTTTACATCCATAATAAATTAACAATTGGGCTATGAAAGAAGGAGGATTATAGCAAAATGTTCTTAACCCTCTCTCAAAAACAGAACCAGGACCACATTTGAGGAATACCAAATGATTCTCATTAAAGTAATAAGAATTTTTTTGGTGACATGTGTCTGACAGATTCATGGCAGCCAGAGACCCAAAAATAACACACAGCCGGCAGTTCCTGCTCAAACACACCTAACAGACGTATTTCACACTGTTTCAAGGATGCTCCACCCTAGACAGACTGGGTGGGAGGTCATATGCAAATTGCTGTGGCATTAAGCATGCATTCCTTGTGACAATACTGACAAGTTGGGTTTAATATACTGAGTTCCTCCAGCTCTTCCTTCAAAAAAGTCGCTCTAACTTGGACAGGGCGAGCCAACAAATTTGGTTGATTCCAGACCCTGCCCCACCCAACAGCTAAAGTTATTTTTAACTTACAGCTACTGTTGATAAGTATGTTTCATACACACACACACACCCTTTCAGAAAGAGAAACTCCAAAAAAACAAACATCATTACATTTCAATGACAAGTGGTCAGTCCCTAGGTCAAAGCTATAAACGAATGTCATTTTGGTTTAGAAACAACAGAGCATTTCGTATGTATCCAAGTTTTTCAGTGCTCTTTACAATTTCTCTAAACTGCCTTATGAGGCAGTGAGTAAGCTAAAATTGTACCAGGTCTACCTTTGAATAATCTAGAATTCTGAACCAAATAAGACCCATTTCCATAGTTCAAGTGCAATAAACAATAACTAGTTATATGAAAACTATCATTTCATTGTACAATTTGCTCCAATCAACACATTTTCCTATATCTGGAAATTAGCTAAGTGAGCTACGCTCCATGACCCCAAAAGTTAAAATATGGTGGGGCCCTGACCTGTTTGGCTCAGTGGATAGGGCATCGGCCTGCGGACTGAGGGGTGCCGGGTTCGATTCCAGTCAAGGACATGTACCTTGGTTGCGGGCACGTCCCCAGTGGGGAGTGTGCAGGAGGCAGCTGATTGATGTTTCTCTCTCATCGATGTTTCTAGCTCTCTATCCATCTCACTCTCCCTTCCTCTCTGTAAAAAAATCAATAAAATATATTTTTAAAAATAATAACAAAATAAAATATGGTGGGGAAGATAGACAGGGCCTTAAAGAAGTCAAAGATGGAGGTGCCAACTTTGCATAAAAATAATAATAATGACTACCATTGGTGTCAATACCATCATGGGTACTTTATACAGATTATCTCAATAAATCTTCACAACACCCTTTACGGTAGCTACTGTCACTATTCCCATTTTACAAATGAGAGAAATGTGGCACAGAGAGGTTAAGTAACCTGCCCAAGGTCACACAGCTATTTAAGTGGGGAACTATGATTTGAACCCAGTCATCTGGCTCTAGTTGGAATTGGCAATAGACATGGGTACCAGCTTGGATTCCACCCCAGACTAGCTGGGGGTTCTTAAACAGGCTATTTAACTTTTCTGAGTCTCAGTTTTCTCATCTGTAAAGTAGAGATGACAATACCCAGCTCACAGGGATTTATGAGGAGTTTTAAACAAAATGACCTTTGCAAAGTGCACAGAGTTGGTGGACTGGAAGGTATGGATGGCTGCAGAGGAAGGGATCTGGATGAATCAAGCCGGAAGCTAGCAGAGGGACTTTTCACTCTGCTGTGACTGCTCTGTGCAATCTAATCACCAAATGGCTCAGCCTGTGAAGCATCATAACTACAAGTCATGAAGGGCAAGCAGCTACTCTGACGCCAGCAGCCTCTCGCATCCATTCACCTGTTCATACTCTGGGCCTGGCAAGGTGCTGGGATGCATCTCGAACAGGATGGACTCGCTCTCATGGAGTTTACATCCTGCAGAGAGGGACAGATTGTTACCCACCCACCCCAAAAAGTGAAAGCAAACAGTTTAATTTCAGATCCTACTAAGGGCGGCGAAGAAATCGCCTTGTGACCTGGGTAAGTCATTGGCCTAACCTTCTCTGGGGACCTCGCCCGGCATTCACAGCGCAGTTCCTTTAGTCCCGATCAGCCCGGGCGCAAGGGCATTCTGGGCCCCTCTCTCTCCCTTAACCCTCACCGAGACGAAAACTCTTGCCGTTATTTCCCAGAGAGAACTCAACAGCCCAAAGGATGCGGAACAGTGGGAAGGGGAGGAGGGTACAGTGGTTCTTCGAGACAAAAGCCCAGCCCCAGCGCCCTGAAGGAGGCTGGAACCGAGAGCGGGGCTAGGACATCCCTAACCTGCTCCCTGGCGGCTGTGCCGGGCCAGGCGCTGCGGGCGCCCGCGCTGCTCGCTCGGGGTGCTCAGGGTGGGTTCAGGGACCGTCGCTGCTCTCCACTCCCAGCCGACAGGGAGCGGATGCCACTCGGCCTCCTTTCCTCTCCTCGTTCGTTTGACACCCGGGAGACAAGCCTGAAAACCGACCTGGGACCCGTTAACGACAGTTCTTGGGGCAGGGTGGGGTGCGGGCTGTCCCTCCTCGGTCCAAGCGCGGGGTCTAGGCTAAAAGGGGTCAGAAGGCTTCGCCCCAGCCCACCCTGCTCCAGGCGGCGCTGCGCCCGGCCTTGCTCTGACTGCCGGCCTCGATCTGACAGCTCGGGGTGGCAGGGGAGCTGTCCCTCCTCCTCCTCCCGCCCCACAGGGACCCAGACGCCTCTCCGGCCTCCTCCAAGTTGCACCCCGCCAGCCGGGCGCAGAGGGAGGGTGGGATGCCGCCGCCCCAGCGCCCGGCAGTGCTCTCGGGGAGGCGGTAGCTGCGCCCGGGGGGCGGGGAGGGAGCGCCGGGGACCGGAGCGGAGGGGCCGCGGGAGCCCGGGGCTGGCAGCTCGGCTTCAAGTTTCCACCCGCGCGCGGTTGTGCAACTGCTAGAGGAGCAGGAGCCGCGGGCGCCTCGGAAAACAAGCCGAGCTCATAAACAAAGCCACGTGGCCTCCGGGCCGGGGGCCGGGCTAAGAGCAGGCGGCTCTTCCGGCAACAAAGAGCGGCGGCCAGCGGCCCGGGATAAATACCGCGGCCCGGACGGCGGCGCCGCACTCCGCCAGCCCCGCGACCCTCCCCGGAGCAGCGCCCCGCGCCCTCTGCCCTCTGCCCGCGCCGGCACTCCGCTCCGCACCCCGAAACCCGCAGCCCTCGACTCCGGTTCCCGGCAGCCCGTCCCCTCGGCGGCCCCCGCACCCCGAGCGGCCGCCCCGGGCGGCGCGTCCCCGAGGCCGCCCGGCCGGTCCCGTCCACCGGGTTGACGCGCACATCGGTGCGTCCGCTCGCGGCGCCATGCCGTTCCTCGGGCAGGACTGGAGGTCCCCCGGGCAGAGCTGGGTGAAGACGGCCGACGGCTGGAAGCGCTTCCTGGATGAGAAGAGCGGCAGCTTCGTGAGCGACCTCGGCAGGTGAGCGGATGTGCCACCAACTCCCAGCCCCGCGAAGCGGACCCGGGCTGGTGGCGGGGACGCGGGGGGCGGGTGAACGGGGGTCAGGCATGGTTGGAAGAGGGTGAGGAGGAGACCCCGACCCGGGAGAGGGGAGGGAGTTGTCTGGTTTCTGCAGAGGTCGTGAGAGCACGGGATCCGGGAATTGGATGTTTCTTGTTGTTCAAGGTCAGCGTCTACAAGTGGGCAGTACTTACAGAACCCTGGGAATTTGAGGACAAACGCAGATATTGTCCACAAACATCCAAACTTAAGCACCCAACTGGAGGGGTCCCCTGCCTTCAGGACAACGGCGTGGCGCAGTTTGCAAGTGTGGGGGCGCGGGCGAGTGGGCCACGCGCTTCCCCCGCTGGGGTGGCGGGGCTCCCAGAGCCCCAGCGCTGTGGGTACAGTCAGGTGACGGCATGGGGTGAGGGTTCCGGCCCGAGCGCCGCCAGGCTCTTCCCACGCACAGGCGACCACAGAGTGGGCTGGGAGGATGAGTAACCAGGAAGGGGCGGCCAGATGGCCCTGGGGCACCGGCTTGCAGGGCGGACTTGCTTCGAGCGGTGGTGAGGAGTGGGGGCTGCAGAGTTGAGCAGGAGGGGAGGGAGGAGGAAGGTGAAATCCACACGTCTTCTGCTTCTGAGACGACCAACCATTTGCACCTGTTTCCTCCGTGACGCTTTGGGTTAATTTTCTTTGTACCCCTATTTCCATGGTGCCTATCAAATGCAGAAAGCCCACCTGGCTCAGCTGAGCCCCTCGAGGTCCCACCGGAGCCCTGGCTGGTGGAAAACCCGAGGCCCGCTGAACCGGGAGTTCTGCGTGGTTAACAACACAGAAGCACTGACTAAGGTCTGGAATCTGTCAGTCTGGTTCTTAACCGTTGACTTCCAGATCCCTGGCATTTGGCCCAGGTGAGGAGAGCAATGAAAGTGGGTCCAGAGGGGGTCTGTGCAGCCTGGTCACCCTTGGGTGCCTTTTCTCACCCACTTTGGTTAAAACCCCTGCCCTCCCTCCTTGAATTGACTTCAGTGGACAGTTTTGTAAGGGTCAGGTTCCCGCTTACAGAAACCAGTGGTTGTTTGGCCTCTTGACACTTAATTTTAAGAAAACAACCAAGAAAAGACGGTGATTTTGACAGCTTGACCTCCAGAGCCGCCCCCCCCCATCTGTTTGTGATTTGTAAAGCATCAAACTCTTTATCTTCCAGCGGGGGAAAACAAAACACAAACAGTATTTAATCTTGAAGGCCTGTGTGACAGAGACAAGAGCATATTGACCTCTATGCTGAAGATGCCTATGGGCAGATCCTAGGCAGATTGGGGAGCACTGCAAAGACATTTTATTTCTAGAAAATTAGATATTTACTTACAGAAAAACACTGTGGCCCTAGCTGGTTTGGCTCAGTGGATAGAGCCTCGACCTGCAGACTGAAGGGTCCCAGGTTCGATTCCGGTCAAGGGCACATGCCGGGGTTGCGGCGCGATCCCCAGTAGGGGGCGTGCAGGAGGCAGCTGATCAATGATTCTCTCTCATCATTAATGTTTCTATCTCTCTCCCTTCCTCTCTGAAGTCAACAAAAATATATATTTTAAAAAAAGAAAGAAAAACACAATGATCACCTGCTGTCACTAGACTATGTCTTTTGGGAACTCAAGTTACCAATTATGCCTAAATTATTCTGTCCTGGAGAGAAGCTTGCTTCCTTCTTCCTCATTCCTCAGGAACGATGATCTAATATTTGGTACTTTATTTCTGTATAACAGTCCAGATTCTTTCTAGGGAGCCATGTCTCAGTGAGTCACCCAAATATAATTGCAGGATGCTCCTCAGTGGGAAGCAGACCACGGGGTTCAGCAGGAGAGGATTCAAAATAGAGCCTCTGGTTCATATAAATACTCCCACTGTCCCTGCTCCAGGAGATGAGACGGCATCACTCTCCTTTCCCAGTGAACAGTGGTGCCTCTCTCTCCATCCTACGGGAGACCTGAAGATGGTTTTAACTTAGCACAAACTTTAAACCCAGACTGAGATCCCTGTGCCCTTCAGAGTCTGCTTTCCTTCCTCTCATTTCACACCCTCTGAGCTAGAGCTGCGGCACTGGCTGTCATTATCACAACTGGTGATCAATATAGCGACTGCCTCTGGTTCTTTGATGAGTCAGAGTTTAGGAATCATTTGGTAGCTCCTAGCAAAGCAGCTGGCTGTTTGTTTGTGGAGTCCTGTATTTTTCCCCCCAGCAAGTGTAAACAATCCCTTCCTTACTTAGCATGAGAAGTCTGCCAACTTCTTAAAAGAGGTTGGCCTTCTGAGACCTGAGTTTAAAGTCTCAAATATCCTCACTGTTTTTGGTCTTCGTGATGTTTCTCTGTGATGTCAGGTTTGGGCTGAGTGCCTGCCGCCACAGGTGAAGTTGAATGCCTCTCCTGTTAGGAGAAAACAAAAGGCAGTCCCTTTCAAAAAGGAAAAGGGGAGGTGGGGGAAGCATTGTAAAACAGAGGACTACAGAGGCATGGTACACTTCTCTAATTCCAGGTCCCGTTCTGTGGCCTGCCCCAACAAGATCAGGGAAGAAGTGTGCACGGGGATTGTTTCAGCCTGGGGCTAGTGTTTAGTGTTGACCACAGCTCCTCTGCACAGTGCACCTTCTCTGGACTCTGCTGGCCATGCTCTCTGTGATCCGAGGCCCTGGCCTCCTCCAGCTGCTGAATGTTACAAAGCCCACTGCTGCCAAGTGCCCCGAAATGAGATCATGGAGGATTTCAGATAAGCCTAAAGCAGGGCCCCTTCTCAAAACGTTGAAACTACGCAAGACAGAGAAGGAATGACAAGTGTTAAATTTGGTGAGACAGTCCTAGCCGGTTTGGTTCAGTGGGTAGAGCTTTGGGCCACAGGCTGAAGGGTCCTGGGTTCTATTCCAGTCAAGGGCATGTACTATAGTCGCAGGCTCACCCCTGGCCCTGGTCAGGGCGAGTACGGAAGGCAACCAATGTGTCTCTGTCACATTGATGTTTCTCTCTCTCTCTGTCTCTCCCCCTCCCTTCCACTCTCTCTAAAAACCAATGGGAAAATGTCCTCGGGTGAGGATTAACAATAAATAAATAATAAAATCTCAAAACAAAACAAAAAATTTGGTGGGACATATTTAAAATTCAAGGAAAGAGCTCAGAATGAGTTCGGTGATCCAAGAATGTTTCAAGGAAGTGCTGGTGGAGGCACCTGAGACAGCCCTTCTCACCAACAACCCCCCTCCCTACACTCATCCACCCCCAAATGAGTAATCTCAGCTGAGCCACAGCCACCCTTCTCCAGGCCTCCAGGCCTCCAGTCAAAAAGTTTAATGTTGCCCTAACTGGTTTGGCTCAGTGGATAGAGCGTCAGCCTGCGGACTGAAGGGTCCCAGGTTCGATTCTAGTCGAGGGCATGTACCTTGGTTGCAGGCACATCCCCAGTGGGGAGTGTGCAGGAGGCAGCTGATCGATGTTTCTCTCATTGATGTTTCTAACTCTCTATCCCTCTCCCTTCCTCTCTGTAAAAAATCAATAAGATAAATTTTTTAAAAAAGTTTAATGTTGCTTTCCAGTATAGCTAAGGCTGAACCAGGAAGCAGGAATTTTACCTTGGTGCCCTGGATGAGTAGGGCATAAGAAAAGAAAAAAAATAGTTAAGATTTTTATGAGTGCTTACTGTGAGCAAGGCTGTGTTCTGAGAGCTTTATACACCAAGCAGGTTTTTTTTTTTTACCATGCAATCCCTGTACTAACCATATACATTTGACAATTTGGGTATGTAACGGGGCAAATGAGCATAGACATCTCATTGGCCTTCATCTACAACTGAGCCCTCCAGAGCAGCCACCGTGTTCTTAAATGGCCTGTTATTGCAAAGAAAATGAGAAATAAGGCTTGTGCTTTTCTGCCCCTCCCTTTATCTCTGCTGCCAAAATAATCTTACTTTGAAATCTTTCCACCTTTTCTAAAGTTGTCTTCGAATATCTTGGAATGTTTGGTGATATTATAGGGCTGGGAGAGGCCTTCTTTCTTATTCTAGGCCTGTGCCTATACAAATCAGCAATAGTAAGAAGTGACTACAAAATAGCAACTTACTGGCTGTGATCGAAGCAAGCAACCTCCTTCAGTGGTTTTGCTTTTTTAAATAAATAAATAAATAAATAAATAAATAAATGTCACGGGTTCCAGAATGGTGGTAGCTATTCTTGTTAAAAAAAAAAAAAAAATTCTGTTGTAATTTCCCATTGGCTTTGCATATCCTTGAAATGGACATAATTGAACTCTCAAAATAGTCTCTGAGTATATTATTGCTTAAAAGAAAACATATACGCAGGCAACATAAATAAACCCCATAACCGTACTTTCTAGACCTTCCCTCGGGGGTCCCAGAACCTAATGACCAAGAGAAAAATACACGGTTTCCGCTTTGGTTCAAGCTTCTCTACATTCTGCAGTGAGAGAGCATCATTAGTTATGTCAAATTCTTCTGAAACTAGCCTTGGGAATGACTCACGCAGGCTTAACGCAGGTTATTGTCGTTTCCTTGAGGAAAGCAAAGGCTTGAATTTTTTTTTTCGGGAATGTTTTCAATTAGAAAGGAATCAGGTGAAATATAAATATTTAAAATTTCTGAGGCAAGGTCACAGTCTGTGGCCCGGGCTCTGAGATTTTTCTGCTCTACCTCCAGGTATGATCCAGAATAACACAGCTTTGTTTTATATGTGGAATGTAAGCTCTCGGGTTTTGCTGGTGGTGCATGTGTGTGCTTCCTTTAAAAAGAAGCACACAGAACGGCCTCGCTGCTTCCTAAAGCTGTTCTCGGCCTTCGTACATCATGGATCGGTCAAGTGACTTTCCATTTTCCCCTTCTCCTCAACCTTGATTGGAATTTCTTAAGTTAGCTTTAAGGACTCAGAGTTCTGCCCTCCCTTTGTTCTGCCCCTCTTCTGCCGCAAGTGGACAAACACACACTCCTGTGTGACACAAAGCTGGCCCGGAACATTCACCCTCGGCCTGCGGGAGAAAGTACCTCCAAGAGAGGACATTTCTACAGCAATCTCTCTGAAACCTAAAAATACCCTGACTCTCTGAATGAAAAGGAGAAGGCTAAAGATATTAGGAAGCGCAGTAAATGGTATTAAGCAGGGCCTTCCAATGGAAGATTAACAAATGATTGGTTATCCATCAAGCTTATCCCGATGGGTCTAGAAACACTGAATATGTTGTTGGTATTGTCACGTGCAAGCATTTTAGCAAGTTACTCATTGTACTCATTGAAGTGCTATTTGAGAGACCATTGTAACAACAGGGGACTGGAACTTGCTTCAAACCCTCCTTTCTACCATTTACACAGTGTCCACAGATTGGAGAAATACAGATGTGTCTGATTTAACTCAATCGGTGTTTGTCCAAAAAAAGATATAAATCAAATCACATTTTAAGTTTAGCAGAGGAACTCAGGTAATTGTAAAGGACTCTAATATATTGGTGGTGTAGTTTTTATAAAACCTAATTTATGTTTTACTTCTTGGCATTCTATAACCTACCTTGCGTATACCTACATACCCCATGGGAGTTGGGAGAGTTGGGAACCTACCTTCCCATTCTACCTCAGTGTTTCTCCTGCTTCCCTTCTGTGGAAACGCTGCAGAGGTTGACCTTGAAGGGACATTGTATAGTAGGTCAGAACTCGGTCAGTCCTCCCTAATGATGGCTTATCCTACGAGGGAACAATCCACGTGACCCAGGTTGACCCTGCGATTCCTCTAGTGACCTGGGACTTGGGCAGTTCTGTCTTTTCGGCCCTTTTGAATGTATGAATTGTGAACTCAGCTTGTTTCCTTTAGGATCCAAGTTCCTCACCTCTAAACATGACGCCAGGTGTTAGTCCATTACATGAAAACTAAACAACTAGCTCGGTTCACAGATCATCTCCTAGAAATGGAGTTTGCAAGTCGGATTTTTGTAAATGTGATCACGTTTTAAAGGCTTAGAGAGGCATGCTAGTTAAAAGCAGCTTGGGTGCATTTTCAGTAGGAGAATTGTATGGTAGGTGAATTCTATCTTTTTGAAAAACGGCTTGGGGTGGGGACTTTTGCAAAAGGAGGGCATTGTGCATTACAGGGATACCAGTAATGGCCCCTCTCCCACTCCCTCCATTCATCCTCTTTGCTTAAAGTAATATTGTAGAGCCCTGTGTGGAGAGTGCAGGGCTGTGTGTCAAATACAATGGCAGGCACTGTTGGGAATTCAAAAGCAGCAGCAGCCCCCATCCCTGCCTTCCACTGAGATGTGACAATATCTGATCCTGAAAGAGGGATGTCTGTGCCTGGAGAGACCTCTTTGGAGGGGTATTTATTGTTGTGTTTGAGAAGCGTGTTTTATAACCAGTAAGCTACTTAGGGAAACAGCTCATGTTAAAGTATAGCTGTGACAGCATTTCCCCTCTCGCCTTGTTTTTCCTAGCTACTGCAACAAGGAAGTGTACAACAAGGAGAATCTTTTCAACAGCCTCAACTATGACGTGGCGGCCAAGAAGAGAAAGAAGGACATGCTGAACTGCAAAACCAAAACTCAATGTAAGCCCTTCGTTTTGAACTTGGGAACACTGTTTGAAGATGTTACGGTCGGCTTGGGGAGGGGGAGGGGAGTAATCACACCTCCTGTTAGACATCTGCCTCGATGTTTACCGTGTCATTGCTGGAGGATGCTGGGATCTTTGCACTCAGAAACCTGTCTATGCATTTTACGAGCAAGATGAATGTGTTCTTTATAGTCTTGTTTATACAGTCAGTTGCTAGCTGGGGTGTTTTTTTCCTGCTTGTCACTTATATTTGACATAGTTAATTTAGTTATGATACAGCGATAAGGTCAGCTGAGTCAATTCCAGCGCATGCTTTTATTTTGAACTGTTTTGAGGCTTTGAAAATGGATTTGTTTCTCCCTCTTTCCTTGTATAAATATTAGTAACATTTCTAGATGCTGTACGTGAGTGTCAAAGGAGAGTGTAAAGTTCTATTAATAAGCAGGAATTACAGATCTTTAGTTTAATCCATCTGCACTGCATAGTTCCCGTGTGTTATCTGTTTTATTTCTTTTTATGACCTTGCATAAGTTGTAGGCTTGGCATATAAAACAAACTTGTACTTGGGTATTAGATTTTTTTTTTTTTTTTTTTTTTTTTTTTTTTTTTTAGTTTGGAGCAATGAGAGTGCTTCAGACAAAGTAAATTGTAACTCAGTATCTATACACTGCAGAAATTAGGCATTTGCAGCCTCTTAAATTGTCAGTAGAGTTGTGTGTGTGTGTGTGTGTGTGTGTGTGTGTTCGAAACTTTTTACACTCTGAGATAAATGAAAAAGAAACAAGTTTACAATCTTGGGCATGTTCAAACTGGGTATGTTTTCTTGTCTCTAGATTTTCACCAAGAAAAATGGATCTATGTTCACAAAGGAAGTACTAAAGAGGTGAGCATCATCTGTTATTAAAGAGTACGCTTAGCTTTACGCCTTTCCCGACAGAGTGGGGGGAAATTGAGCAACAGTGTTATTTCAAATCATGACTGTCTTCTGGGGTGTGGGTGATGGTGACGAGCAGCCCACTAACTAGCCAACCATGAGAATCTAGGGCTTCAGAGAGAGAGAAGCAAAAGTCACTAGTTGCCCCCCGCCCCCAATCATTCAGTAAGATAATGTATGTAAAAATATGTATAAAGATGCCCACCTCAAATATATTATTATGAAGCCCTGGCCTTTTTGCCTCAAGACAGTCCCTCCTTTTTGTTCTAAGATCTCTTTAGATTTCAACTCAGTTAAGTTTTAGCCCTGGAAGAGCTAATCACTAAACAGAGCAGAATGTTTTTGCCTGATCCGTGTGAGGCACCGAGCTAGATGTACTAGTAGAAGGAGACCAGACTGTAATTACCACACTTGATGGCACTTTATACAACCCTTTGTGCATATTTTCTCTCTGCACAGGCAGTATTTGCTCAGACAACTAGGATACAAGGCAGTAGGAGAGAATGATGGACTTTCTATCATTGGAGAACATCTGGTTCCCTCTGTGATCTGAGACCCCGAAGGGTCAGTGAGGCACCCAGATACCCAGAGCTGAGCTGGGACTATGAGTCAGGGCTCTCTACTGCCAGTTCCTTATGGGTTCATAGGTCAAAGATCAAAACTTCTTTTTAAAAAATATATATGTTTTCATTGATTTTAGAGAGAGGGGAAGGAAGAGGGATAGAGAGATAGAAACATTGATGAAAAAGAGACATTGACTGGCTGCCTCCTGCACACTCCCTACTGGGGATTGAGCCCATAGCCCGGCATGCACCCTGACCGGGGAATGGAACCATGACCTCCTGGTTCATGGGCCAACGCTCAACCACTGAGCCACACCTGCTGGGCCAAAACTTTTTGCTTCTTCGTGAAGCCTTAAAAACCCTTCTGATGATCAGATTGAGAAAGTACTGGCGATGCGAGGCGAGGTAGCAGGCAGAGTCGGCAGGTAGGTCTGCTGCTCCTCCCAGGAGTGTGTTACCATGAGCAGCTGCCACCGTCTCACACATCACACATCCAGCTCCTAGCCTTTCCTTGATGAGCAGCTACTTATGAATTTCCCCGGCTACTCTGTGCAGGGAACAAGGGCCCAAATGGTTCAAGTCACAAAGAGGGGTGTTAACCTGTGAGTCACTGACCGAAGCAGCTGCCAGCTCCACTACCCCCATATTTGTGGCTCTCGGGGGGTTCCCAGAAAAGGCATGTCATGGCACAAGAAAGGAGGAAATGGTCATGGTTACCTAGGACAGGCACCAAGTGTATTCCGTCCAGTCCGGTGGATTGTTCTGGAATAACCTCCGCATCCCTCTTCTCATGTTCAGCGCCATGGTTATTGCACATTGGGGGAAGCTTTCAACAGGCTGGACTTCTCCACCGCCATCCTGGACTCCAGAAGATTTAACTACGTCGTCAGGGTAAGTCCCAGGAACCCGAAGGCTGACCCAGCCTCTTTCTCAAGTTGTATTGTCTTTTCGGGTTGTCTACAAGTAGTTTCCCCAAAGAAGTAACTTTTTAGGACCCTGAGAACTTTGAGGAAAGCAGAAATGGACTCAACTTCCCCCTTCCCGACATACTTCTTATGTGGGTTGTTGGGGTGTCCCTGAGATTGGCCCCGATAGAGGACAGAGGGCAGATGGGATGCCAGGATGCTTAGGGAGCCGCTCCCAGCCCCCGTGGGTAAAAGGGAGCACGCTGCAGCCAGCAACATTAGCGAGAGAGAACTGAGCAGCAAGCCATAAAGCACCTTGGCTGGTTTTGAAAACCTTCTGCACATCTGACTCTTCTCACGGTCCAACTCCTTGACCCACTGCAGCTGCCTCTAGGTGAGCCCAAGGCTTTCTGGGTTCAGACCACAACAGTGGATGAGTTCAAAGCACCTCAGTGCTTCTTTCCCGTAACTCCCACCCACTGCCACCCTCATATGATAACAATAGCCACTCCTGTGTTTACCTGAAACTACCTGTCTGGGTCAGGTGCTTTCCCTTTGTTTTTAATGAGCTGTCTGGAAATACCAATGATGATGATGGTCAAGCAAGTAAGTCTAGCCATGGCCTCCAAGTCAGGGATTCTTCTTAATTGGTTTATCATTGTGCGTTTTTGTCAGTGGTGCAGCCTGGGAGGTAGCAGCTGTTTGGATTTTAGGCTCAGGAGTAGGAGGGAACGTGGGTGTTGGTAGGTTTGGTTTTTATTTTCTTCTTCCCGGGTTGTTGTGCTCCTCCGTGCCATGTCATTGAGTCAGATGATTCCGAAGGCTCGGCCAGAGAGATGACATTCAGGCCCCCTTGAGGCCCGGATCGTTCACCTGTCATCTGGGCAGATGCAGGGCTGCCATCCCAGCTGACCTGATGAAAACCCAGGCCTCCTTAGAGGGAGGAGCTCTGAGCTGAGCCGGGGCCACATGAGCAGATCTGTCCACTCTTCAGCTGAGCCCTTATTCCAATCCAAAAGGGTTGAAAATAGGAGCCTGTCTCGATGAAGCGTTCGTGTCATTCGGTGTGACTCTGTCACTTCAGGGAGGTCACTGCGGCCTGCAGCCAGTGCAGGCTGGTTGGAGACAGGCCAGGAAGATCTGGACACTGTCGCTAAGAATATGAATAGTTTCCATCCTCTCAGTGTTGGAGCCAGACACCCAGATCTGGCGTCTTCGTTACAAACTGGTCAGCAACATGGCCAGGTTTCAGATGGTTCTCCTTCCCACCTGTTATTCCTTTCACAAGAAAGAGAGTTACAGAAAGGAGCCAGGATCATAACAGGGAAAATCTATTTCATGCATTATCCTCCTTTATCCTTTCTATAACCCTACAAAGTGTAGGTACTTTTTAAAAATATATATTTTACTGATTTTTTTACAGAGAGGAAGGGAGAAGGATAGAGAGTTAGAAACATCGATGAGAGAGAAACATCGATCAGCTGCCTCCTGCACACCCCCTACTGGGGATATACCCGCAACCAAGGTACATGCCCTTGACCGAAATTTAACCTGGGACCCTTCAGTCCGCAGGCCGACGCTCTATCCACTGAGCCAAACCGTTTAGGGCAAAGTGTAGGTACTTTTATTATCTCTGTTTAAACAAATGGAGGTGTAGCCCAGCAGGCGTGGCTCGGTGGTTGAGCATTGACCTATGAACCAGGAGATCACGGTTCAATTCGTGGTCAGGGCACATGCCCAGGTTTCGGGCTCGATCCCCAGTGTGGGGCATGCAGGAGGCAGCCAATCAATGATTCTCTCTCATCATTGATGTCTCTATCTCTTTCTCTCCCTCTCCTTTCCTCTCTGAAGTTAATAAAAATATATTTTTAAAAATAAACAAATGGAGGTGTAGCAAGATAAAATGAATTTTCCAAAGTCATGAAGTTACATAAGTACAAAAGGAGGATCTGAAGCCAGCGCAGTCCACAGTAAGTTTTATGTAAGCAGAGGACTGTCAGTAGAATGGCCCGGGGTCAGAGGTTGAAAGCTCCTACCACCTTCACTGTTTCAGCCTCTCCAAGACTCCGTTTTCCCCTCTGTGAGATGACAGAACAGCCTCAGCTGCACCGGATGGCTGTGAAACTCCGTAATGCATTACATATGGAAATAGTCTGCGGACCAGAAACTATTATGCAAAGTCAGCTACTGATATTTACTAGTATTGTTAAGTTGATAAAAATGTTTTTTCTACTTTAAAAATAATAAGTAGGAGATCTTGCAGTTGATTAAGACTCAGCACGAAGCACTTGTGCCTGATAGTGTCTAATTGCAAACTGTCTCATGAGCACTTTCTCTGCAATAATTTTGAAGTTAGAGAAACTGCCCAATGCTTTCAGAGTTGTTAGGTTCAGAAGTAGTGGAAAAATATTACTGTTTTGGAAAGAACAATCTTTTTTTTCCCCTTCACTGTCAGAGCCCTCTGTAATTTGAGAAATAATATGTTATTTTTATGAAGAGCTTAAAACAATTTAATGATAGGCACTGCATTTTGAGGCTTTCTTCTGAGGAACTCAATACACTTCTCATATATTCTTCTTATCCTTAAACCAACTTTGCAAAGTGGCTTGCCAGTATCTTCTCCCCATTTACTACTTCGACCTAATGGTTTCTTGATGCGGCAGCGATTTCTTAGTTCCAGTAAGAAGCTGAACCAACTTTGAAGGCCTTAAAAAATTGTTTTATTCTCTTTAAAGGCAAAGTCCATTTTTTAAATAAGTTGTGTTCATGCTGGCTGACATCTCCAGAAGAAGAGACGCAGAAGGAATCAAAGAGATGGCGAACGCTGCTATCTCAAAATGTTATAATTTTAAATAGTCAGCACAGGAATCTGTGGAAATTTTGAAACCAAACATTTTGAATATAAATTGCAGAGGTTTTATATTTTTAATATAAATTGCATTTGTACCGGAACTGAATTCAAGCTACACCTACTGACATTATCCCCTTCCCCACATACACCCAATGGCTTGAATACTATTTTAACTGTGGGTTTTAAAGATGATTTAAAGTCTTTAGAAGCAGCAACTGACTCATTTATGAATGGTCATTTTTTAAGAAATTGTTTACACCATGCCTCAAGACCAACACATTTTGGAAATTCCCCTTGTTGGGGGCGTGACTGGAGAGGATTCCAGGAGCTGGGCCGGTGGTGGGGCTCAAACTGGTAACCACAGGAGGGAAGTGCTGACTGACTCACCCAGGGCCCAGAGAAAGTGAGGATCCAGTAAACTGGGAGGGTTCAGAGACCACACACTGCTCATGGCTCCATGAAGTGAGCCTGCTGTGACCGTGGCCCCAACCCTGGCTGCGTGTTAGAATCACCTGCGAAGCTGGTCTACGGAAGGCCACCTCAGCTGTGGCTGATGGCATTGGCTGAAGTGGTGCCCGGCATTGCTATGAAAATGTATCCACCAAGTGACCCCAGTGTGTTTTCAAGTTTGCAAACCAGCTCAGGAACTACGTGGGGGCCCAAATGGTATATTTTGCACACTAGGTTTTTAAATAGATCGTGAGGCAGGCTCACGGGATGCTTTAATGTCAGGGTGGCCTGTGACCTGGTCCTCCCAGCTCTCTCTATGGAATGAGACTGTGACCACGTTGATGGTCACCACAGATGCCATGTGCAGACCAGGAACATACTGGAGAAACTTGCCTACCAGTTTCCTGACTGGGATGAACTGACCCCCATAGCTAGCGGATCAGGAAGGACTAACGAAAGCTGCCCACTCTCTCTGTCCCTCTGCAGCAGAGAATCACAACCTAAACCCATGCATGTTCTTATTTTGTCCCTGCATCACCACCCCAAGTCCATTTGGATATTTCCAGCAAGTTATGCATTCCTACCACCTCCTAAAAGTCTCTTCCAAAAACATGTTTTAGTTTAAGTTGACTGGTGGTTTGGCAAACAAAGGCTGAAATAGGGCACCATGACTCAAATGCAAACCCAATGCCTTCAATTAAGGGCGTGCTGTTGCCAAGCCCCTGGTGGGGCGTGATGTGCATGGGCAGCCAGCCCCTCTGCCACTGTGACCTTGGATTAATTTAGTGCTGCACACACGTGGTGGCTGGCCTCCCGTTGATGGAGGGTGGCCTCTGCCTCTTGGATCTTAAAATTGATGTTATCTTTTTCCATTGCGACTGAGAAGCTGGGATGAAGGGAAGGTGTCCAGCCCTCAATGGCAACAGGGTCAAAATCAAAGAGCCATGAGCCCATTTAAAAACGGCTCACAGCAATGGTAGGGGATCGTGAGAACCCACTGCAGGGCACCATCAGTGAGGGCACAGGGCTGTCCGGCAGTGAATGGCCATCAGACTGCTAGTGATTTCCCAGGACAAAGTCTGCGTGTCTTGGAATTCCTGGCCTTCTCAGTCGGAGTGAGCACTGAGACAAGCAGAACCTGCCAGGTCTGGGAGCCCACAGAAGTGAGGAAGCGCATGTAGAAGTGGGGGGCTACCTGAAGAAGTGAGGGTGCCCACACAACCACAGGAGTCATTGCAGAAGTAGGAGGGTTCCCACAGAAGTGGGGGCACCCAAAGAAACAGGGGAAGGCTGACAGACGAGATAGCGGTGTTTTTGACCATGGACCCCTAACAGTAAATAAATATGAAAACATGTGCTGTCCGTGTATGCCTACTCATGAATTCAGCTTGTAAATCACATACCTATAGAAGGTGCTGATAGTGGTCTCTCCCGTTGTGTTGCTGTGAGAATTAAACTGAATACAAACAAGTAAAAGGCATTCCAACAGTGCCTGGTACATGGTATCAGTTGTTGCTGTTACTATTATCTTTAGGGTCCTAATTACAGGCATCAGAAAACTCTCAAAAATGGAAATTAAAGGTGAAATAAAATATAGAGATTGATTTTTAAAATTCTTTCCCATCCTGCTTTGGAGACTGCTGGATCAAAGATGTGCCTGTTTTTTGTATGACGTTTTTCTTGAG